AAAGTGTTTGGGGTCTAAATAGGACATTTTTTCACTGTTTGAGGCCTCAAAAAGGGGGGGGGGGGGGCAAAAAGCCGTCGAAACACGCTTATATAAGGGAAAAGGTTAAAATACAAATTTAGAATACTATGGTGTTCATAAATATGAATAAGTGCATCAGTTTCACATATAAATGTCAACTGATATTAGATAATATTAAATATTTCTGTATAACTGCCAAATTAGTGAAAATCAAAGCCAAATCATTTGGACTAATAATTCAATTGATCGTGTATGATGAAGTGAAAACAATTGTTTCTTTTATCTGAATAAGGCTTAAACTAAACTCAGATTATTCTCTAATCTCAAATAAGAGAAAAGTGCAGAGACGAAATGTTGTCTGTGTATTTAGAAATAAAATATGATAATGACTTCTGTTTATAAGAATGAATTAGAAACTTTGGTTGCTATTTATTAATTGACTTGCTATGATATATGCAAGTATATCATTTCTGTACTATTAAGAGGATTGATGCTTACTTGAAATTTTTCAGTTTTGGATATTTACTAATAAATTAAATTTCAAGAACATGTGATGAACTTACAAAGTTTTTAGCTCACTTGTCACAAAGTAACAGGGTGAGCTTTTGTGATCGCATTTTGTCCGGCTCCAATCCACCGTCCGTCCGTCCGGCGTCTGTAAACTTTTACTTAAAATGACATCTCCTCATTAACCATAATGCCAATTTCATTCAAACTTCACAGGAATGTTCCTTTGGTGGTCACCTTTGAAAAATGCTCAAATAATTTAATTCCATGCAGATCTGGTTGCTATGGCAACCGAAAGAAAAAAACATTAAATATCTTCTTTAAAAAAAACCCAAAGAGCTAGAGCTTAGATACTTGACATGAAACATCTTCTAGTGAGTGTCTACCAAGTTTGTTCAAATAAAAGCCCTGGGGTCAAAATTGGCCTCGGCCCAGGGGGTCACTGATTTTCCCAATTTGCATATAGTAAAAACTTAAAAAATCTTCTTTTAAAGAACCCAAATAGCTAGAGCTAAGATATTTAGCATGAAACATGTTCTAATGGGTGTCTACCAAGTTTGTTCAAATAAGAGCCCTGGGGTCAAAATTGGCCCCGCCCCTGGGGTCATTGATTTTCCTTATATGTGTATAGCAAAAACTTGAAAAATCTTCTTTGAAAAAACCCAAATAGCTAGAGTTAAGATATTTAGCATGAAACATCTTCTAGCGAGTGTCTACAAAGTTTGTTCAAATAAAAGCCCTGGTGTCAAAACTGGCCCCGCCCCGGGGGACATTGATTTTCCTTATATGTGTATAGCAAAAACTTAAAAATCTTCTTTGAAAAAACCTGAATAGCTAGAGTTTAGATATTAAGCATGAAACATCTTCTAGTAAGTGTCTACAAACATTGTTCAAATAAAAGCCCTGGGGTCAAAACTGGCCCCGCCCCATGGGTGTCATTGTTTTTAACTATATGTGTATAGTAAAAACTTTAAAAGTCTTCTTTTAAAAACCCCAACGAGCTAGAGCTTAGAGGTTTAGCATGAAACATCTTCTAATGGGTGTCTACCAAGTTTGTTCAAATACAAGCCCTTGGGTTAAAATTGGCCATGCGGTGTAGGGGGGGGGATCAATGATTTTCCTTTTATATGTGTATAGTAAAAACTCTTCTTTTAAAAAACCTTAAGAGCTAGAGTTTAGAAACTAATCATGAAACACCATTGAGTAAGTGTCTACCATGTTTGTTCAATAAAAACCCTGGGGTAAAAATTGGACCCCCCAGAGGGGGGGGGGGGGTGTCATTGTTTTTTATTATATATGTGTAGTAAAAACTTAACATCTTCTTTTGAAAAACTCTGACCTAGAGCTTAGATACTTAGCATGAAACGTCTTCTAATGGGTGTCTACCAAGTTTGTTCAAATAAAAGCCCTGGGGTTTAAACTGGCCCCGCTCCAAGGGCCTATAAACAGGTGAGTGACTTCAGGGCCATTATGGCCCTCTTTTTTTTTTAGCTCACCTGTCACAAAATGACAGGGTGAGCTTTTGTGGTCGCTTTTCGTCCGGCGTCCGTCCGTAAACTTTTACTTTAAATCATAAATGACATCTCCTCATAAACCGCTAAGCCAATTTCATCCAAACTTCACAGAATTGGTTCCTTTGGTGGTCACCTTTAAAAATTGTTCAAAGAATTTAATTCCATGCAGAACTCTGGAAAGAAAAACTTTAAATATCTTCTTTTAAAAAACCCAAAGAGCTAGAGCTTAGATATTTGGCATGAAACATCTTCAAGTGAGTGTCTACCAAGTTTGTTCAAATAAAAGCCCTGGGGTCAATATTGGCCCCGCCCCAGGGGGTCATTGATTTTCCCTAAATGCATATAGTAAAAACTTAAAAAATCTTCTTTTAAAGAACTCAAAGAGCTAGAGCTAAGATATTTAGCTTGAAACGTGTTCTAATGGGTGTCTACCAAGTTTGTTCAAAATAAAGCCCTGGAGTCAATATTGGCCCTGCCCGGGGGTCATTGATTTTCCTTATATGTGTATAGCAAAAACTTAAAAAATCTTCTTTGAAAAACCCCAAATAGCTAGAGTCTAGATATTAAGCATGAAACATCTTCTAGTGAGTGTCTACAAAGTTTGTTCAAATAAAAGCCCTGGGGTCAATATTGGCCCCGCCCCGGGGGTCATTGAATTCCTTATATGTGTATAGCAAAACTTAAAAAAATCTTCTTTGAAAAAACACAAATAGCTAGAGTTTAGATATTAAGCATGAAACATATTCTAGTAAGTGTCTACAAAGTTTTTTCAAATAAAAGCCCTGGTGTCAAAATTGGCCCCGCCCCAGGGGGTCATTGATTTTCCCTATATGCATATAGTAAAAACTTAAAAAATCTTCTTTTAAAGAACCCAAAGAGCTAAGATATTTAATATGAAACATCTACTCATGAGTGTCTACCAAGTTTGTTCAAATAAAAGCCCTTGGGTCAAAATTGGCCCCGCCCCAGGGGGTCATTGATTTTCCCTATATGCATATAGTAAAAACTTAAAAAATCTTCTTTTAAAGAACCCAAAGAGCTAAGATATTTAATATGAAACATCTACTCATGAGTGTCTACCAAGTTTGTTCAAATAAAAGCCCTTGGGTCAAAATTGGCCCCGCCCCAGGGGGTCATTGATTTTCCCTATATGCATATAGTAAAAACTTAAAAAATCTTCTTTTAAAGAACCCAAAGAGATAGAGCTAAGATATTTAGTATGAAACATCTTCTCATGAGTGTCTACCAAGTTTGTTCAAATAAAAGCCCTGGGGTCACAATTGGCCCCGCCCCAGGGGGTCATTGATTTTCCCTATATGCATATTGTAAAAACTTAAAAAATCTTCTTTTAAAGAACTCAAAGAGCTAGAGCTAAGATATTTAGCATGAAACATGTTCTAATGGGTGTCTACAAAGTTTGTTCAAATAAAAGCCCTGGGGTCAATATTGGCCCGCCCCAGGGGTCATTGAATTCCCTATATGTGTATAGCAAAAACTTAAAAATCTTCTTTGATAACGCCCAAATAGCTACAGTTCAGATATTAAGCATGAAACATCTTCTAGTAAGTGTCTACAAAGTTTGTTCAAATAAAAGCCCTGGGGTCAAAACTGGCCCCGCCCCAGGGGTATCATTGTTTTCAACTATATGTGTATAGTAAAAACTTAAAAAATCTTCTTTTAAAAAACCCAATGTGCTAGAGCTTAGATGTTAAGCATGAAACATCTTCTTATAGAGGTCTACCAAGTTTGTTCAAATAAAAACCCTTGGGTTAAAATTGGCCCTGCAGGGGGGGGGGGTCACTGTTTTTCATTATATGTGTGTAGTAAAAACTTAACATCATGAAACATCTTCTAATGGGCGTCTTCCAAATTTGTTCAAATAAAAGCCCTGGGGTTTAAACTGGCCTCGCTCCGGGGGCCTATATACAGGTGAGCGACTTCAGGGCCATCATGGCCCTCTTGTTATAACTTTTTATTCTCCTGTAGTTTTTTTATACCATCAGAAGTTGTCATAAAATTTTGATTTTTATTGTAGAAGTTGGCAAAGATAGAAGAGGATCACAATGCAGAGATCAGTAAACTTATAGCACTAATAGAGAAGGAGAAAGAAGATGCACAACAACTTAAATCTAGTCTTACATCTATGACAGGTGATAAACAGGTAAATTTTAGCGGCAAGGTAATTAATACCAATAGTAAAATGAAATATAATTTATATGTATGTTTGAAAGAATAATATGTTGAATGAATGTTTGGTGAAGAAGATGGTGTCGAAAAAATATTTTGATGTCCAGTTTTGTGAAATGACAGTCTTCTTTGTTAAAAGTAGATGTAGTGGTATTATGTTCAAAGGTCAAGTTTAAATTGTTCTATGTCACACAATGATATTTTGATAATCTGACATGTTTAAAATGGATATATTCGTAGCCTTTGATGTTTCTCATGTTTTGAGATACTCTTGAGATCAGCATCAGTGTACATAACTTAAATATATACTATGCTCAAGTTTGACATTAGGAAATATTGATAATTGCTACATAGTCTCTTTGTAAATATAAAATTAACATGTTTTGACTTCTAAATATAGTAAATATGTTATGTTTAAAATTCTACACACTATAAGATAGTCACAATAAGAACATATAGTGTTGTTAAAAAAACTGGCAGTTTTTTTTTTTTAAAGAAAACACCAACTTTAGTTGACCTGTAATATGGAACGCAGCTTCCCATACATAGTTTATTCATTCTTTTATTCAAATTAGACATATTCAGTAAGAATTTCATAGATTTCAATAAATTTCTGTGATTAAAATATTTTACTCAAGGATGAGCATAGTATATCTTTAAGAAAATAAATTATCTTCTTTAAAGGACAATAACAAAAAAAAATCTTTTTGCAGTAGAAAGCTTTTGTCATGTATGTGTCAGAGTCAGAGAAAAATAATTTGCTCATTAAAAAAGAGCTGTATAGTAAGTAGTTTATCTTTACTGTTATCTTAAACAGTAGTTTATCTTTACAGTTATCTTAAACGACTAGTCATATTTTGTTTGATAAGCTATACTCGTATTTTACATTATGAATTTTCAGACCAAGTTTAATGAGGCAGTGAACAGAGTTAGTAAAGAAAAGGATAGAGTGATAGAAGAATTGAGAGTAAAAGAGAGTAAAGTTGTAGAAGATATCAAAAAGTTGAAAGGTAAACATTTAGATTTGATGACATAGAAAGCTGTAGGATATTTCAATTGTTGTTTTTTTTTTCCAGTATAAAAATACTGTGCTTAATATATTTTTTGTCTTTTACGTATTGAAAGAGTTGGAAGTCATTTTAAATTTTAGTTAATTCCAACAAAAATACTAGCATAATTAATGAGTCATTGTTTATTATTTTAATTCTATCTTAATTATCAATGATACTTTAATTGAACACAGCAATAACTCAAAATTGTAAAATAGTTGATTGCCATGATAATGTTTTATTGATAATCTGGATACAGACATCTTCTCAAATATATTTTATCTGTATTATATATAGATATATAGTTTTGTCTTTTCTTTGAACATTATTGACCTTAACAGATTAAAGCAGGCAGACATATCATTTCCAGTAATCAAACAATTAAATTACAATGCAGTTAAATTAATATTACCATGTTATCATGTTATGATATATGTTAAGTATAATAATATTGTATTATAGAGCAAATAGAAACATTGAAGGAGGAGAAAAGTAAGGCAGAGGATATCAAGGAACGAGCTTTGTCTTTCCTCAAGGACAAGGAGGCTAATCAGCGTCTACTAGAGAGTGAACTAGGTTTGGTCCAGCAACAGGTGATACAATACAAGGAACAACTACAGAATATGGCATCAGACTCTTCGGATATTACAGTAACTAAATCATCATCTTCTGTTGTCAAAATAAGGTAAATTTACCATAACTATCTGATGATAATTTGTAGTATTAAGTGGTTCATTAATAATTGAAAATGATTATTTCTAAAATACAATGTTGTGTTTTTATAATTTGATTCTCATAATAAGGAGTTATCTTAATTTTATGTGCATTGTCATATAATATTATACAGTAAATAATGTATCAAAGAAGGTTTGACAAACTGTGCAATAGATAAACTGTACAATATCATACAATAACGCAATACATGTAATTATAAAGAATTTTGCATATGATATGTAATATATCTTAACCCACAAAAGCATATTTGTCTAAGAAGGAATAATGCAGACCTTTTTAAGAATATCTAAGTTTATATCTTTCAGCCATGATGACTTACAACTTTTTGATTTATACATCAAACATTGCATTAGTTTAATATTTTATCAAAATGTCAGTTATATTTATGTTTAATAAGGTTTTAACTCAAACATACATGTATAATATTACATTTCTGGCCAGCCATCAAAAGTTTCTATCTCAATGTTTTAGTGATCCAGAAGAACCTGCTTTACATCAGAGAATTAAAGACCTTGAAGATGTAAGACTTTACACCTCTTATTTATATATGTTCTCATGTTTTGTTTCTTATGTGTGGCTTTAATCTGTCCATCTGCTAGACTTATGTACAGTTATAACAAGGTTTGTGAGATCTATATATGAGCCATGTCACGACAAAACCAACATAATGGGTTTGCGACCAGCAGGGATCCAGACCAGCCTGCCCATCCGCGCAGTCTGATCAGGATCCATGCTGTTCGCTATCAGTTTTTAGCTCGACTTTTCTATGAAAAGGGGAGCTATCCTACTCGCCCCGGCGTCGGCGTCGGCGTCACACCTTGGTTAAGTTTTTCGTACCACCCCACTTTATTTCAGAAGTATTACAAGTATGGCTTTGAAACTTACCATACTTGTTCACCATCATAACCTCCATCTACAGACAAGAGTACATAACTCTGTCAAGGTTTTTGACAGAATTATGGCCCTTTTTTGACTTAGAAAGTGTATTGAGCTTGGTTAAGTTTTTTGTACCACCTCACTTTATTTCAAAACCATTGGAGGTATTGCTTTGAAACTGACCATACTTGTTTACCATCACGACCTTCATCAACAGACAAGAGGACATAACTCTGTCAAGGTTTTTGACAGAATTATGCCCCTTTTTGACTTAGAAAATACATTGAATATGGGTAAAATCCACTTATTGCCTTAACCCTTTGAGATATTGCTTTGAAACTTTTAATGCTATTTCACATCATTACCCCATCTGTACGCAAGAGAAGGTAACTCTGTCAAGGATTTGTTTTAAAAATTAAGGCCTTTTATCGACTTAGAATCTTGGTTAAGTTTTTAGTACCAGTCCACTTTTTGACTGAACTGTTTGAGATATTAATTTGAAAGTTGGAATACTTGTTTACAATCATGATTCCCAAACATGTCCAGGAGAAGGTAATTTTGTCAAAGATTTTATTTGAATTATGGCCCTTAACTGTCAATGTTTTGTATTATAGGCAAGCACTAAAAAACTTAAAAAATCTAAAAAAATTCATTCCTATCCACTTGTTCACTTTACCATAAATTATGTCATATAAACATTGCTGTAATATTCAAGGGTATCAAACAACTAGTTTTTTTTTCTTTCTTACCAGCCCTCTTTTGACTTAAACATTTCAAACTTTGCTGCAGTGTTCAAGGGTATCACACAATTCAGTAAAATAATTCTTCACTAAATATCTTAATGCTCATGGCCATTGTTCACTTTAAAAATACAGAGATTCTTGTATTGCCTTTTACTGCAAAAACTTTTTTTATTGGCAAGCAATAAAAAAGTCGAGCGCGCTGTCTTACGGACAGCTCTTGTTCTATTTGTAATAGAGTTTGTTCATGGCTTTTTTTTTCTCGATAATTTTATTAGCTAAGGACTGTTGGTTTTAGCATATGTATTTTAGGAGTCGAAAAAAAAAAATAGACTTAGTCCTTAAAAGAATTCTTTCAATTATTAAAGATATGTAATCATTTACAATAAACAACAATCTGCTCTGATATTCGTGAATACTTTTAATACAGATAATACTTAAGTAAGTCCACCATGAACCATTTATAAATAACTAATGTTTACACAGAATGCTATAAAAATAAGTAAATTGTTGACAACAATGTTTAATACTAACCATTTATACACAGTTGACTATGCTTTTGTATTTACTTTGTCAGAATTATATAGTGATTGTTTTACATGTAGGTATTTGTTATAAGTTCTTTTTTCATGAAATTAACATTTATTTGATGGAGAAATTACTTTAGAAATAAGCTTTAAAAATTATATTATTATGTTCCATTATAGGGTATGGCTTGTTGTGATATGGATGTATGATATGGTTACTTGCAAACATCTTCTGCTTGTGCATGTGTGTTTCTTGTATATATCATGAATAAAGACCTATTTTCTGTACATTGTCTGATATTAGTTAATTTTTGACACATATTTACAGGTGGTTAGATTAAAGGATGAAGAATTAAGTAAAATGCAACAGAAAGTGGTAAGTTAAATTCTTTTTTCATTCTTTTTCTGTATTTCAATTTAATTATATACTATTAATGTACTTTATTAGTCCCCTACCGGTTTAACCGGAGGGGACTTTAGGTTTACCCTCTGTCCGTCTGTCCGTCTGTCTGTCCGTCTGTCTGTCTGTCTGTCTGTCTGTCTGTCAGTCCGTCAGTCTGTCCACAAAACTGGATCCCGCGATAACGCAAAAAGTACTAAAAATATTTTTATGAAACTTGATATATGGATAGATAGCAGTATGAAGATTATGCATGTCTTTTTCTTTTGTTCCTATCTTGAAAATTCTGGTTGCTATGGCAACAAATAGTCTGAAAATATGGCAAATTTAACACATAAACTGGATCCAGTGATAACTCAAAAAGTACTGAAAATATTTTCATGAAACTTGAAATATGGGTAGATGGCAGTCTGGAGATTATGCACATCTTTTTCATTTCTTCCTATGTTGAAAATTCTGGTTGCTATGGCAACAAATAGCCTGAATTTCAAGATTTCTGATTTAAACTTTTCAGCTTTTTCACTATATGTTCTTTATTTCTTAAGGTGTTTACTTCAAACTTTAAATATAAGTTCCTGGTCATCAACCACATCATATGTGACAAGGTTTATAACTCTAGCACAAAAAATATCAATATTACCTCCCTTGAACTTAGATTTTTTAGGGGAAAAAATGTTGTCTTTTTTAAATAACTTTTTTATTTCCTAATGTATCTACTTCAAACTTCATATATATGTTTCTTATTATCACTCGACATTTTTGAGAAGGTTAAATACTCTAGCAAGACTATTTCCAGAATTATGTCCCCCTTGAACTTAGATTTTTTTCGAGAAACTGGTATTTTCACTCCAACTTCTTCATTCCTTATAGGATTTACTTTAAAATCCCACATCGTATTAATATGACAAGGTTGTATAAACATAATTTCCTTACTAAGCATGGAAACTTAACACATTACTGTGATATAGACAAACTTATTTTATTATGTTTTGTGGTCGATATTTTCAAATACAGACTTCATCCTCAAATTCATTATAAATGGCAATACACAGGAGTGTATGACAATTAAAGAACTTTTTGAGGGACCGGTAGGGGACTACTGTATTGCCCGCAATACTATCAAATGCTTGTTCATTCTTTTTTTCTTCTTAATTTGTTAATATACATGTATATCTGAAAGGAGTTCTTAATATTTTTATATATAATGCAGAATGTGTTCCTTGTTATCTTGAATTTTAAGTGAAATGTTTTTTTTGCTTAACTGTTTGAAGAATAGGGAGAGCTAAGGCATCAGGTTCTCTGTCACACTTTGGTTAATATTTTATTTGCATGTTTGTATCTCCGAAACTACTGAAGAGAATGGGTCGGAACTTCACACACTTGTTCTCTGTGATTATCTAATATGATGGGCACAAGTCCCATAACTCATAGTTAACTTTTTAAAGAGTTAAGCCCCTTTCCTTACTATCGCGCACTGAGAATAGTTGAGCATGCCGTCTTTACAGAAGCTCTTGTTTTACTTCAAACATTGGATGCAGACTACTTGTTAAAAATATATTGTGAATGGTATTTATTACAGATGGAGCTGTCCATGTCAGCAAGTACAAGGTCTTTAGTCCAAGATAAGGTTTCTATTACAAGGTATGCTCAGTATTGTTTCTTTCACAGTAGATTCAGTATATATTTCCTCAATATACTTACTAACGTGATTTTATTATTGAATTTCGAACTTGATTGTAAATGTGATTAGAAAAAAGCTAAAATTTGAATTTTAAGTATAGCAGATTTTATGTAATTATATCACTTAATACTTATAATCTTTGCATTGTTACCATATAAATACTCTTGGAAATATAAAGTGAATGAAGAAGATAATTCCATCATTTCATATGACAAATATAATGTATATATTTTGTTTACAGTTGTCATGTAGGAGATCTTGTGTTGCTATGTCTAGATGAACGACTCGACCAGTATGTTGTATTCACTGTTGGTACAACTTTACATTTTCTTCATACTGACTGTTTGTCACCATTAGGTCTTAAATCAGGTAAGACTTTACATTGTTTTATCATGTAATGATGTTGAGATTTCAAAAATGAATTATGTCAGCAGAAAATTGCCTGTCAGGAAGAAAGCGAAATGTTCAGTTCTCATAGAGCCTAAAGCATGGGTCACTTTTCATTCTTCCTTTATTGGCTGACATAAATGTACTAACACTGTGTTAAGTGTCACTGCCTATCAGCAACCCAGGGATTTTAGGTTTGAGCCTTACTTAAGCCACTTTTACGTTTCCTTGCATGACATCAATACTGGTTACTTGCAGGAAGTAGACTTGAAAGGAGATGTAATTAAGCTCTTGCAACTTAAGTTTATTATGTTTTACATGTACTGAGATTAAGTTATTTAATTTATGCACCAATTACATTTTCATGTGGGCCTGTAGATTTCTGTATAGTCTACACATTTTAGGTATCACTGTTTTTGGGATGAAAGAAAAAATATTGGAATATGAGTTTAAAGAAAAGCAACTGTTGTAAATGTACAGTCCTGACAATAATAAATTTGTTTTATTATATGTAGAAGGTGGTGAATGTAAGAAACAATGGCTGATTGCTGAAGTCATAGATAAAGAATATTGTCAAGCTAAAAAGGTATTTTATGCTTTAATATTGATAGTTTTTTATAAATGTTAAAGGTGTCTAATTGCAGTACATGTATGTGTTTTGGCAAAATTAATTTTGCTGATACAGATTGACTTGCCCAATTGGTAGTTTCAATACATCACGAGTACAGTGGTATTATTTACATAACAATCTGTACTTGAAGTATACATAAATAAAAAAAAGAAAGTTGTCATTTGACCTACTCTGAATATGTATGACACATAAGAATAATTGTTTGCAGACATGTACATGTTCGCAATTTTATAAGAATGGCTCTTTATTATAGCATCTCATTGATGATTAGATAAATGTAAAAAATAAACTTATTAATTTATCATATTGATATACAATGTATCACTTCAAGAACATTTTTCAACATTATAAATGTCTGACATTTTCTTATTTCATTGAAGTTTTTTTTTATATAGTAAAGTATTTACCAAAGATATGCGTGGATTCATAATGTATATTAACAGGGTTTTTTTGCCCTCTTATTTTTGTTTTGTTTTGGGGTTTTATATGGAAAAATGTAAATGTTTAAGTAGATATTGCATTTTCATGATAACAAATGTCAAGTTTTTCTTCTCTAACAGTCAAACAACAGATTCAAAGTACCAGTCGGCACCAAGTTTTACAGAGTTAAAGCTAAACGCTGGACAAGAGAAGGTAACCAGTCTCCAGTGAAAAAATCTGATACTGCATCAGGCTCTTCATGACATTCCTTATAATATACAACACAGTCTGGTGTATGAATTTCATGTTGTAAACCACTCTGTGTTTGCTTCCTTGCCATTGGTCAGATTTAAATGTGTGCTAAGAAGCAACCAACCAGATCATGAACTTTTTAATCTGGTGCCCTGTCACAAACCGCTTTATAATTATATAATAAGCCTAGAAAATTTTGTTAAGTTGAAACCTCCATTCCTGAAACAGTTCTTTGTTAATCAAATTGTTTTGAATCCATTGCATTTTTCAAGTCATATTTATTTCAAAATAGTTTTTTAGCTCGACTATTCGATAAGAATAAGTAGAGCTATTGTAGTCACCCGAGCGTCGGCGTAACCACGTATGTTAAAGTTTTTGTAATACTGTATAAGTGGTTTTTTCTGCGGACTCCAAATTCTGCGTTTTTTCCAAATTTTGGCATGTTTTTATTTCTGCGGACTTTATTTCTGCGACGCATCTTTTGGACAAAACGTGATTTTAATTCTGCGGCTCATCTTATCAAAGTCTAAGTCACATTACTCTACCTATTTTATTTGCATGTACACATTTGCATAAAAATTTTGTTTATCGTCGTCACTGCAAAACTATATAGTAATTACAAACAATTATATTGTTAGTAATTACAAACAATTATATTGTTTGCTTGCAAACAAATGTAATGCACAACAATAGACAGTATGCATCTTTTGATCTGCGTAAAATGACGTGTGAAAAATATACCACCCCGGTAGTATCTTTAATTTAATAAAATTTATAGAAGTTTATCGTAAATCAGACAACAATTAATGCATACGACGATTATTTAGCAGTACAAGGGTTAAAATGGTTTTAATGATTTAGTGGTGAAAAAACCTTATAGCGTACAGGCAAACACTATGATGTTTAAATATCTTTATTCATAAATTGGCATAATTAACAATAGGTACATTTTTACAAGCACATATAATATACCGTAATAATTCTATTTAGCGCCCGGGCTTTTATTAGAATCATAGACTTTTCGAAAGTTGGGGATGGGCGTTAATTGGAGACGCATCTTCATAAGACAAACTAATTTCCTAAGCAAGGCTTTATAAATCCACTCGCCCCTCATAACGAATCCGAAGATAGAGCGGATGTTGATTTATAATTGCAGACAACGCTAAAGTCGATTTCGGTATCGTAACGTACCGGCTAAAGTCTGTTCTTTTCCGCACTTAAATACCGTGCATGTAGAGTCCGGTTTCGGAGCACGGGAATAAAAAATGAGCCTCACGCATTTTTACTGCAAAAATATTATGATTTTTCCCAACGAAATATTTATGTAAGGTTACCAATTAACTCTGTAATCTGGGATGTTCTATACAATTCAAAATGTCAATGGAATATTTTGAGTCCGATCATTATGCATTTTTTACCCGCCAATATAATTGTTAAAAAAAAGTAAAAATAGTTCTGACCGATTTTACTGACACAAGCATATATGTTCCTAAAGGGACTGATGCGGAATTTTGATATAAAAAGACAATGGTCTATTGTTCAAAATAATTTTAATCAGAACTAATCTCCCATGTTGGGCCCCAATACATTGAACCACGCACGTACGTTGACCTTGCTGACGTAATGAAATAGGCGCGTGAGTTTTGGCATCTCGGAATGGTTATTTTTTATACATGTATATATATCTTATACACAAAACACATTGAATTATGGCAACACCTATGCTTGTGTCTATAAAATCTGTTATTAAGGGATATCACGTTTACAAATATACATGCCCAGTCGGAACTATACTTCAGTGTAATTTGGAACCAGAAAATGAACATAGTAATAGCGCAATTATCGTAAAAAATAATGGATCTCTTGTTGGACATATACCGGAGGGATTATGTCAGCCTCTTACAAAATTATTCAAAGATGGACTTATTGTAAAAAATCAGTGCCGAAATACTTGGAGAACCGCGTTCGTCATCAAAAGGAACTTTTGTAAAAGGTGGTGGCATTGAAATACCGTGTATATATAAACTTTACGGAAAAAAAGACAAGAAAAGGGAAGTTCGTTCCTACGTGAAAACGGAAATAAGGAAACTTGAATTGTAAAGGTAAGCTCAATTGTACTCAAATCGGGGGATGGGCGTTTAAAAGGGGCAGTTAATTTTTCAACTTTGGGCTGAAAAATGGCCGTTTTTTGTCCAAAATATGGGGGGTGGGCGTCTATTAGAGGATGGGCGCTAAATAGAATTATTACGGTACTTGGCTTAAAGCAATTTTATATAACTCGATGACCCGCTAACCATTATAATCCGTAAGTCGTTATTACTTTGGAGAAAACAGGTCATAATTTAGGACACAAATCGTTAAAAAACATGGAGAAATATTCTGCGGTTTTTATTTCTGCAGTGCTGAAACTGACCGCAGAAAAACGCAGAAATAAAGTCACCGCAGAAAAAACCACTTATACGGTACCTCAAATATTTTCAAAGTCCATTGACATATGGCTTTGAAACTTTGCACACTTGTTCACCATCATGACCCAAACCTGTAGACAGGAGGCGGTAACTCTATCAAGCATTTTGACAGAATTATGCCTCTTTTTCGACTTAGAATTTACGTTAAAGTTTTTGTAATACCTCAAATATTTTCAAAGTCTATTGACATATGGCTTTGAAACTTTGCACACTTGTTCACCATCATGACCCCAACCTGTAGACAGGAGGAGGTAACTCTATCAAGCATTTTGACAGAATTATGCCCCTTTTTCGACTTAGAAATTTACCTTACAGTTTTTGTAATACCTCAAATATTTTCAAAGTCCATTGACATATGGCTTTGAAACTTTGCACACTTGTTCACCATCATGACCCCAACCTGTAAACAGGAGGAGGTAACTCTATCAAGCATTTTGACAGAATTATGCCCCTTTTTCGACTTAGAATTTACGTTAAAGTTTTTGTAATACCTGAAATATTTTCAAAGCTTTGAAACATGTTGGAATTTTATACTCTTCTTTGACAGCATAATAGGACTCTCTCCAATGCCTATAACTGTAATATGGATTTAAAGAAAAAATTTGCCTTTTTCTTTACTGAGAAAATTTTACCTTTTAATCAAGGCCTATTTTACTATCAAACACTAAGAATAGTCGAGCGTTGCTGTCCTACCGACAGCTCTTGTTTGATAGATTATATTTCAGATCTGGATGATATCGTTTTAGACTCGCATACTTTGTAAATTGCAACTAAAGACCTAAAATGAATTGCCAAATTTTTTTAAATTTATGAATGTATTTATAAATTGATGAAAGAACAATTAGTTTTTGATGTTCAATCTGTAATGTGTAGAACAGACCGTTTCCAACTTTTCTCTGCAATATTGTGGAACTTTTATGTTGTTAAAGGTCGGATAGAATGTGCATTTGTTTTGAGGCTTTTGATATACACAAGTAAATTGTTAAATGAATTCATAAAGTGTACTGTAATATGAGCTTATGTATGTGTTAAAATTGACTGTAAATTGATATATTTTGATAAATGAGTTCACACATTGAGACATTTCATACATAAACTTTGAGCATTGAAAGCCGTTTGAACTTTGGACTGTTCTTCTGTACGCTATTACTGTCAGTAAAGCATCCTACTAAACATTCATTAGTGCAATGCTTTTACTTGGATAAATTAAGATACTAGTAACTTGGTCACTTACTGTTATCAATTATCAATTGTGGAAGAGGTGGGTTGACCAGAAGTATTGTTGCTCATGACCATGTAATCTTTATGTTCATTTTTGATAAGTCAAGCTGGATTCATTACCTTAAGATTACCGTAAGATTTTTTGTATTCTTGATTTGAAAGCAAAGAATGATTAAATTATACTGAATGAAACTCTGTAATAAATGTACACTACATGTTTTACCTTGTTTAAAATACTAACCATACAGCTAGATGTGATTGTGTGAAAGATTTTTTAACAATTTTATGAAAACACACTTGTCTGGTATTTGACCAAATATTTATAAGATAATTAATGAATTATTTATATCAACTGAAATAATTTATTTTGTTTATAATACTATGATTGATTGAGTGAGATTATTTATTTATTAAACAACATTGTTAATGCTATATTTATCGTATTTCAAGGGTTCTATGCCATGAATTTTTGACAGTTAATCTAATATCATTTATCATTTTATATAAAGAACAAATACTTCTATTGCTTGTATTGGCTACTTCATCAACATATGTGTATTTGACTAAAATTACAAATATTTCCGGTGATTATATGTTTAAAACTTCCAGATTTATATATGTTAAATACTAGATGCATCATATGTTAACTTTTGTGTGTATGTGAAGACATGTAGGAACAATATAAGGACAAAACTTGTCATGTAGCCTTATTTGTGACTGAGAGAGACATGAGCTGTAATTATTTACATTGTATGCAACTTTTGAACTAATAGATACCATTATTTGTAAATCATTATATGTTAATAAGTAAAAAATTACTGAAATATTGAATATATGAATTCCCAAATGTGAAATGGATTTCAGCTGTCGTACAGATTGTGACTATACATCACAAATACACAAGCAAGTGTTTCTATGTACAGTTAATGTAGATATGTCCTTATTATACCCCCACCACAAAATGTGGGGGGGGCTATAATGGATTCGCTTTGTCGCGTCGGTCGGTCGGTCCGTCCGTCGGTCGGTCCGTCCGTCCGTCCGTCTCCATTTTCGTGTCCGCTCTATAACTCCTATACCAATTGAAGGATTTTCTTCAAACTTGGCTCAAATGTTCACCTCAACAAGGGGATGTGCAGAACCCATATTGCCCGTGTGTCAGTTCAAGGTCAAGGTCACAATTGAAGGTCAAATATCAAACACTATCAAATATTACACAGTATGTCGTGTCCGCTCTGTAAGTCCTACACTTCTTGAAAGATTTTCTTCAAACTTGGCTCAAATGTTCACCTCAACCAGGGGATGTGCAGAACCCATGTCGCCCATGTGTCAGCTCAAGGTCAAGGTCACAATTGAAGGTCAAATATCAAACAATTAAATATTACACAGTATGTTGTGTCCGCTCTGTAAGTCCTAGACTACTTGAAAGATTTTCTTCAAACTTGGCTCAAATGTTCACCTCAACAAGGGGATGTGCAGAACCCATGTTGCCCATTTGCCAGCTCAAGGTCAAGGTCACAATTGAAGGTCAAATATCAAACAATCAAATATTACACAGTATGTTGTGTCTGCTCTGTAAGTCCTACACTAATTGAAAGATTTTCTTCATACTTGGCTCAAATAATTACCTCAACATGGGGATGTGCAGAATCCATGCTACCCATGTGTCAGCTCAAGGTCAAGGTCACAATTGAAGGTCAAATATCAAACAATCTAATATTACACGGTATGTCATGTCCGCTCTGTAAGTCCTACACTAATTGAAATATTTTCTTCAATCTTGGCTCAAATGTTCATCTCAACCAGGGGATGTGCAGAACTTATGTCACTCATTTGCTGGTTAAAGGTCAAGGTCACACTTTAAGGTCAATAATTGACTTAGAAAATATTCTTAAATTTTAACATTTATTTGAATATTTCTAAATCTAGAAAAGGTATTTGCTTGAAACTTAAAATATTTTTGAAGGGTCACAATTCTGATATGCTGTTTGTTCAAGTTTCATAACTCTGTATTGCATTTTACCAAAGTTATGCCCCTTTTTAAGTCTTCAAATTTACATACAATCAAATATTAGACAATATGTTGTGTCTGCTCTATAAATCCTATACTAATGGAAGAATTTTCTTCAAACTTTACTCAAATGTTCACCCCAACAAGGTTATGTGTAGAATCCATGTCACCTTTGTGCCGGCTAAAGGTCAAGGTCACACTTGAAAGTCAAAAATTGACTTAGAAAATGTTCTTAAATTTTAACATGTACTTGAATAATTCTGAAACTAGCACAGGCATTTGCTTGAAACTTAAAAGATATATGAGGTGTGGCAAATAAGATATGCGGGTCAAGTTTCATTACTCTGTATTGCATTTTGACAAAGTTATGCCCCTTTTTAAGTCTTCAAATTTACATACAACCAATACTAGACAATATATTGTGTCTACTCTATAAATTCTATACTAATGGAAGGATTTTCTTCAAACTTTACTCAAATGTTCAACCAAACTGGGTGATGTGCAAAACCCATCTTACCCTTGTGCCAGATTAAGGTCAAGGCCACACTTGAAGGTCAAAATTGACTTATAAATAAAATGTTTAATACATTGGGAAAATGAAAGGTTATTTGTAACTGTTTTGAACATGATTTGATAATATATATTTATACTATTACCTGTACAATTAGTCTTTTTTTCACCAGAGATAATTTCTTTTTATGTATTTGTGCCACATAAGTTATTCCCTTAACCACCTTTCCAAGTGGTCTTCTGTCAAGGACATTGGTGGGGGTATGAATCGCATTCAGCGATAGTTCTAGTTATTATAGTAAACAACATGTGAGTTAGCTTTTAATCTACATGTCGATTATCAATTTTAGAGACATTGATTATGATATAAAAATATAAAGTTGTTTGACCAACAGTATAGAGTCTGGTCAGACTGCATAAATGTGCACACTAGCCTGGCTCTAGTAGGATGGCAAGGGATAATCACTTACAGCAGATTGAAGGTTTAGGTTAAGATTAATGATGGGGAAAAAATCATATATGCTTGCTACAAAATGATTGAATTGAAGCCAGTTCATATCAGTTATGATGTTTGTGTTTGTAACATTTTACATTTTTATCAACCTAGTACTAATATACATTTATTGTACTTTGTATATAATAACTTATTTGACTGTGTATAATAATATCAATGTCATAAATAGTCCTAACATTCTGTTCTCTTGTATTGTAACTTAAATAAGAGATTCAAATTTGAAACTGTAACTCTGTTATTTATAGCACATCATGGCAAGGTCTTTAAATCTACTTAGATCTTAAATCCTTACAGGTAAATGTAGTACATGTATGTATTTATAAAAGATGTTAGCTATATGATGTATGGTTACATTGAAATGTTCAGTAAAATTGTTCACTTGTTTGTTAATTGGTACGATTTTCAAGTTGAAAACAGTTATTATAATAAGAACATCAGACATAATAACTATACATATATAACTTAAGTTTAATATTTGTATACATAAAGTATGCTCATCTTAAAATGTACATTGAACTTTATTGAATGAAAAACGACTCATTTTTGGTTGAGCAATTTAAGATACTGTCCTGACATTGGAAGGTCTTTGAAATGTTTATAATTATCCTAAAAAAAACTTTCTGTAAGTCTTGACATAGGGAAAAACCTTTAAAAAGCAGACCCTTGTGAAATCTATTAACTGGTATTCTGCCTGTACCATTATATTTGTGTGTTTTAAATAAGATTTTTTTTGTAGTGTGAAGAAACAGACAGAATGACATTGTCTGTATTTAGAATTGTTTTCATCACATTGATGAACATTTCTATTTTTTTTCACCTTATATATCGAAGCAGGACACCTCCAAGTTTATGTTTATTGTAATGAAAATACAGAACTTGTAGTAATCTTTATAGATTACATACCTTAATCTAGCCAAATGCACTTACTGTCCTCCGTAATTATATATTTAAAGCCTGTGTAATTGTAATAGTTGGTGACTGCATACTTGGGATGTTTTTATTGATTATAAAAGTGGTTATGATATAGTAGGTTAATGTTTTGAAAGTCTTTCAAAGAGCTATGATTGTTTTGTATGTTGTAACATTGATTCATTTTGTTGATTTATACACATCCTGATGATTGTACAATAAAAAAAATGGCAACAAAAATTGAGTGGTTCTTGTTATATTTGTTCTATGTAGGCTGTTTTGCATTTTCAAGACTCCCATAGCAATGGAACAGTATTTTCAGCATGTACCGTCTGCCTAAAGCTAAGAGGAGGTTTGATGCATTTAGAAAGCATTATTGTTATCGTATAATTAAATTATTGAAAAGGATATTTTTAATCAATATGTTACGACAATTTAAGTAGACCTATTTGCAAAGTCTAGATCCCCAGCAGGGGTTTGAATCAATGGAAGATAGAGAGAATTAAAACTGTTATTTTGATAAATAACCTATACATTACATGATGAATGGAACGGTAATTTATATTACTGGATATTAGTCAAGGTTTTATAGTGAATGTTCTGTGATAACTATTATAGTATATGCATTTGAAAGAACAAAAAATGTTGATATCAGTCACATTGACAATTTACAATATACCTTTAAAAGATATAAAGGTATATCTAATGACTTATTTTTATAACATTTATAGATTGTAAAATTATGTTGTTTCCATAACTTTTAGGTAAATTCTCATAGGACATGTACCTTAGGATGTTTTCTATTTAACACATATGAACAGAGTAAAATGTTCAGGAAACAAATGTTATGCTGCTACTTTATAAAGGAGTTTGTGTAACTGTTCAGCTATTATTTTGTGAATGCTTCATTCGCTTATAAGGTAATATACCAACATATTTCTGTCCTACACAGGTATTTTAGAGTTGTTCTTTTTCAAAGTCGAACAAAGATTTTATAAAATGCAGGTAGGGAAGATATAGCTTTATACACTTTAACGTTTACCTTGTTAAATATCTTAAATTGACATTTCATATTTCATTTTAGACAGAACCATTTATTTCATTTAGGGAAACTTTACAATATATATATATATATATACTGACTGAATAGCAAAGAAAATCAAACTATGCTGACTTATCTTGGTCTTCACTTGTTACATCATAGAACAAAACACCATTAGTAGGCTATACGTAACGTAATTACTACAATACTTAATGTAATGTAACATGTCACACTGTTCCGTTTCATGCCTTTGTTAGACATATTTACTTGTATATTATGTTAAATTATTTAAAAAGAAAGATGAAAGTGCAAAAGATTTTATTATACATGTATTAGTAAAACATCAACAATATTCAACAAAAGAATGGCAACATGTTATAAAAACAAATAAATAAAATTTCATCATGCTTTGGTGAAAAATATTTACAAGTAAAAAGTATATAAATGATATTTATTTTAAAAAGCATTGTAGATCTATACTGTTGGTTGACCTTGCAATCTGATTGTAATATCACAATTATTTTTATAGTAAGAATAAACAGGGAAATTGATATGAATAAAGGAATTGAGATATAAAATGCATATGATCACAAATTTAAAACAATAAAACTTTATAAAAAATAAATATATTTGAAATGTAAATAGATACAGTTTTGTGGGGTATAAAGTACATGTACATGACAGTATGTGAAATACCTTGAAATAATGTCTCTAGGTGATGAGAAATAAAGTATATATAATGTGCTGTTTGCTGGATGGAACCACTTTGTTTTGTTATAGAGATGAGGAAGAATGACTTTTTTATAAGGCGTAACAACTAAACATGACAAGGTGAGAGAAACAATATCACAACAAATCTTGATGATGCAAGGATATTCTGTAACGGAACACTTTTATTTCGACAAATAGTCGAGGCAAAACGAAACTGTAGTTTACAATGTTTTGTTTTACGTCCACTGTTTGAATATTTCTTCATCTTTTTTACTGTCAAACTTTGGAACAAAAGGTATTTGGATAATCTCAGTAAACCCCTCAGCCTTTGATGGAGCCTCAAAGTTTTTCTTATAAACATTGTAGCCGACATCTGGAATCCGTCGGACACCGCCTTTTGTCTGGTTTTGCCGGACATAATTGAGATGATGGGCAAGATCAATGGGAGTGTCCATCACAAAACACCGACAGGGTACACCTGAAATATGTTTAAATGTTTTTTTTCTTCCTCAGACATAATTTATCATAAGATATAATACTATAAGTTTCTCATATGGTATCACACTGTTATACCAGATCATAAGATGTGCAGTAATACCACTTATAAGCATACACATGCACATTCTTCATGGGTCTATATTATTTAAACTATTTGCCATTACCTGATAATGACCTGATTTATTGCAATACATAGCTGAACTCTTAACTTCTGGTGATAAAATAAAATATAAATAAAGAGTAATTGAATATTGTAATTTGAATACGACACTCATTATTATGTTTATCATTTGAAATAAAGATGAAATAAATTACCACTTTTCTTGGCACAATCGATGAATTCTTTCCTAGCTGCCTGTGTAGGGTTAGTATTGTCGGCAACAACACTCTTCCCTGTCTTCAGAGCCTCAGTAGCTGCCTGTAACCATAGTAACAAAAAGATAAAATCTAACGAAAGCAAATGATTGTAAATAGAGAATACTGAAAACAATCATCAGAATAAAGTTACTTTACTTTGGTACTGTACTGTAATCATTCCATATTTTATACCACAAATATACAGAAATAGGTACCTTCACACATTTCTGCATGGTTCCCATGGTGTCTCTGTTGACGGCTATATAACCATGAGGTTCAAAATAACGTTTTCTGAATGTACTCTTTCCTGTTGCTGGTGCTCCTACCATAATTACCATCTCTGGTGACTGTAAAATAAAGTCATTACAAGATCAATGTCTGGTTTTATTAATGAAATCGTTAATCCTTATATACTCCCTAATTTTAAATATCACCATAAACTGAATTGGCAGTAGTTTATAAAGTGACTGTATAGATTTTTTTTTACTAAAATAACATGTTTTCATAAGGTGTTTAGTGTATATATATTATATCTTATGTTATATGAATGCATAGATGAGATGGACATTTAGCATATGTAGTACAACTAAAGCTTCTACAAAACATTTCTTCCACATATTAAGTTCAAAAACGTCACATGTCGTCTCTGTGTGTACTCAAAAGAGACATTTTAGCAATTATCACAGTATTTTCTATATCAAATTTTAGCATAATACATTGTTTATCGTAAATGATCATCTAGTCATCTCTTCAACCTGAAGCTTATTAACAGTGGTTATGAACAGGAGGTGACATACCTATATTTGTATAAAACTTGGTATTTATTTTACTTACTTTACTGTGGTATTCTTTACTTGCTACATCTGTCTTTTTCAAGACAGTGTTTGGATCAACTGACTGCCATGCAAATTTCGCTGGATCCTCTCCAAGGAAAAATTCTTCAGGGGTTTGAAACTCTGAAAATATATATTTTTGTTCTTTGTGTAACATAACATTTACATTGGGGATGTTGGTTTTTCATCTAAATTACGTATGTCAAATATCTGGCTATAAAAGTTCTAATTTGAAATACTGTATAGAGCTATAGAGGTATAGAGGGCATTTTCTGCCATTAAAATTAAAGATAGCAACTGAACTAGTTTGTCTGCGTAACAGCACATACTTCTCCAAAAACAGTACAACTACATAAAGCATCTATAAAACTTACTGACTCCAAGGTTGGCAGCAAACTTTCTGTCACTACAAGAAAAATCTTTTGGTTTTCCTGGTGCCCACTCCTTGGCTCTCCCAGCAGCATCTCCAACATACAAACATTTAGTCCTATCAACCTGAAAATGACGTTAAATAATTGAGCCGCGTCACGACAAAGCCAACATAATGTGTTTGCGACAAGCGCAGTCTGATCAGGATCCATCCTGTTCGCTATCAGTTTCTCAACTTGTAATAGAGTTGGTAAGCGAACAGTATGGATCTGATCAGACTGCGCGGGCGCAGGCTGGTCTGGATCTATGCCGGTCGCAAACCCATTATGCTGGTTTTGTCATGACGCGGCTCATATATGGTTTTCAAAAATCCGGAATATGAAAACATGTCATATGGTGTCAGTTTTACGAGTTTCAAATTGTTTCGGAATTGTATAATGACACCTTAATAAACTATAGGATTTCAGTGACATAGAGCACTTTAACTAATGACATTTTAAGGCATATAGTTCAGACAATGCTGCAGCAATTCGTATATCATGTGTACATGTTGGAGGGAAATTTTTAGAGCTTTATTGATTTTAGGTACCTTTACTCCTTGGTTACATTTTGTCTCCCAGTATTCCCACATCAAAGTACTTGGTTTTCTGTAATGATTCTCCCCGGTGCATACGAACGCCTGAAAAAAAAGGCGGGAAAATATCTTTAATACCAGTTTTTGATTACTTTTATTTCTATACAATGAGGAAGGGTACACATTTTCTTTAAAATCAGTTAAAAATGAAGCTATGGGTTTAAGATAACTCATCAGGTTTCTTTTGTAAAGATATGGAAAGATAAACGCACTATTTTCAAGAACGTTTATATGAGTCGCACGAGTGAAATTAAGAAATTTATGATTTAGTTATCAAGTTTTCTTCCCATTCGGAAGATTTAGCGAGACCCTGTTTGAATAAATTCGATCTAGTATTATAATAGCATATCGAATATAATCTCTATATACATTAATCTTTATTAAATAGAACGACCCGGAGAAACCGGTATGTAGTAAATTTACGTCTACTTTTTAATTCATACCAATATTTTTCTTTATAAAAAAAAACACCGTCATGTTTTAATCAATAATTATAAGCAGGCAGGTTTATATTTTATATGACTGAAATATGTAAGTAGACTTACTAAAACTGGTATATCTAACTCTTTGATAATAGCTTCAATTTTCCGCTGAAGTTCTTCTGGTTGGACTTTAAGTTTTTCTATTCCCGCTTGATTGGTAAAGAAAATCACCCTATATCCATCTTTATGAAGCTCTCTTAGTTTATCTGGAACACTTTCATCCCACCATTCCCAGTCTGACGCCCCTGAAGATAATCATTTAAAATGAATTAATAACAATAATGTCAGCACTATTATTTTATTGATTGGAATGCTAGAAAATATAACAATATTAATTATTATGATATTGCAATATAAAGACGCTTCTACGAATGTGCATGTCCGTATAGTGTAAATATGGTACACAACAAGTATTTATGTACTTGTGTACCTACTAATATAGTAATACATAAATAGAGATTCATTTTGCCACGCCCCTTTCTCAACATCTAAACGATTATTTACCTGTTGCGAATTTTCTCCCACTTGCAGTTTTAATCACAGTGAAATCGATATCGAAACCTGCGGCTTTCTGACTTCCCGGTAATGTTGGGGATGTTAGCGTTAACAGTGGACATACATTTTTCACAACTTCTCCATGATAATCCCACTTTAAACTGTCACTTAAATCCGTCTCCCCTTTAGCTCTTTTAGCTTTAACTTCTGCTTGTTCTGCAGCTTTACGCTTCAACCCTGCACGCCTAGCACTCATGTTTAGAACTGCTGATGTTCTCTTTATTTTCTTCTTTATTTATACACCTGATGCAGGTAAACCGGAAGTGATAATGTTTATATATATAAATCGAGCTGGACATGTTTAAACAGGTAAAACTGTACAGGTAGTCACCGATATAGTATCGATTTTCTACCGAGACATTCCGAAACTTTACGAAAGATAACGATACTTCTGTATACAATGGTGGCTAACTTGCGCTATGTCGTATTTTTGCTCCGCGGGGCACCAGGAGTTAATGCTACTACCCCACACATTGTAGTGTGATCGTTTTTTAAATAAAATGTCACCAAAAGATAATATTTCATCACAGGCTCGTAAATTGATATTGAACTAGATGATTAATTCATGTATTGTTCCAAGGAAAGTATTTGTAATTGTTTATATTGTTTATCCTACTGTAATTTTAAATCGTTTTAACGGTTTTTTTTTGTGTGTGTGTGTGTGTGTGTGTGTGCGCGCGCGCGTGCGCGAGCGCGTGTGTTTTGTAAATATTGACTAAAATTATAAACACATCCGTTAACTGGGTTGGTTGCGGGTAGAACAATCTGCGCTTGGATTTCTTGTATCCTTCAATTTATTGCTGCACAGTATATCATAGAAACTTGTGTTAATAAAAAGAGACAAAAAGAAGAATATATCGTGGTAATCTCATCTGGTTTAAAAGTAAGTTCTACCACATGTAAACGGGTGTGATAATAGGGGTGTTTATATCTATGTCAAGTGAAACATATCAACTGTTAGGTTAAAGTTATATCATGGAAACTGCAAATTTTACTACTATTCATATTATATTATTGTAAACAAATATGTTGTGTTTTTAATCCCGTTTTGTGTGGAAAAGTAGCCCCTTTGTTGAGTGGTTACTTTGTCGTATTTTTGTGTTTTCATCTGGCGCCTCGCGGAGCGAAAATAAGACATGGCACAAATCAGCCACCATACCATAACACTGTCACCGGGTGTACCAAAACCGCATAGGAGAGAATAGTGTCAAGGCAATTGGAATATTAAAAATAGAAGTAAGGACATCTTCTTAGCAATTAAATTCAAATCTATTCTGCTCGTTTTTGTTCAAAATACAGTTTGAAAAAGCGGTATCAGAATTTTAAGGATGCGCGCGCATAGTATGACCCTCTTGTGAGTGTCTGGTGTGTAACGTATGCCTAGCTTTCTATTGAATTCAACAGTCAACTACAAGAAAGCGGAAAAAATAGTCAAAGAGCGATGATGTTTGTACCGTACAAGAGATGATAATGTCTCGATACTGTTGGAAGCAATATACTTGTGGTTTTAGATCAAAAGCTATGTAATGCGGAACTTATCTCTGACGTTTCACGAGAAGAAGATAATTTTGAAACAATTAAAAAAATGAACGGGATTTTAATGCTTCCGAGGGATCAGCTTTTACCAGATATTTATTATCGACATACAAGTGAGTTGTAGTGACGATCTACTGGAAAGAATAAAATTGATGAATCTTCAAAGCAACACAATATATAAGGTAGTCACTTCACATCTTACGGCATCGCATATTAAAATATAGGGTTAACGCACGTTTTTCACTTTTTTATAGGCATGAGTGATATTTCAATGGAGTATATAGGAGCTGCTTATCTCTGTTATCTATGTCTCTGCAAGAGCGCATGACTCTGGCAAACAGGCCAAATCGTCATTTTTTGTTTGTTTACTGGGCCCTGTATGTATTGCGCATAGGTAAAACCGGGCTATAACAAGAGCTCGTGACTATGTTAACGCATGGTTTTGGCCCCGTTATAACATGGGCAAAAGAGGGGAAAATAGCCGATTTTATGCTATAATATATGTTACGCTGTAGCAACGGTTCTATTTAGACACTTGATATGGTATGGGTCATTTCGCGAAGGGATAAGTAATATCTTTCAGTCAACACAATAAAAAAAGTTCCAATCTTGCAAGACTCTGCATGGCACAATATTTGTCGCAAAATAAGCATATACAATATCAAGCACATATTGTTCATAAGGGCGCACTATGAACTTAGAATTGTTCAGCCAATTGGCTGTTATGGCGTTTTGCACCGACATATCAATATGCCTCAAGACACAAGGTATCGTTAGGTCAGTGCTGTAACACATTTAACACAAAGTTGACAGAAAAACAAAACATATATTGAATGCCTTCTTATACAAAAATGTTTGACTCAATAGCAATGAGAGAAATCATGTTATCAAGGATTTAATGAAGAAAATACTTTGTTATTTATTTATTTTTAACTCGCAAGGCGAATGTTCAAGATCAGCTACTATTCCTTAACGACTAGTTTGAACATAAATTTGCACTGCTTTAGATCCCGAATAGGTTCATATATCCGTTGTATGTTTGTGTTCATTTAGCGATATGCCGGATGGCCGTTCGTGTATATCTACACAATAACACCGTTGATGAAAGAATAAGCTCATTTTCCACAGCTTGAGACTTGGTGTTTTGTGCAAAGAATGATTCCGGTACAACAATGAAAACATTATTAATTACAGAAAGTCGTTGACTTTCTAATAGAGTCTGATCTTAACGAAAAGTGCAACATATCTCATTTTACTATCAAAAGTTCAATGAAAAATACCGAACGTATAGGTATCAGAACAAAAAAGGTATTGACAGGGTAGACACTTGTTAGCAACAGTGTCATACAAATTTATGTTAGTTCGATTCTGTTGGAAGCTTTAAGCTTATTGAAACACTCTCGAATCCGTTCCTGGAACCAACCAGTACTAAGCAATGAATGTAAAGTTTTTTGCTCAAGGAAACAACGGCTTTCCCCTGACAGGGTTTGAACCCACTCGGTCAGCATAGATTACTTGTCCGACGCGTTAACCACTCGGTAACGCCACCACTCAGCAACAGTATACACGAAACTACATTTTTATGCATCACGCCTTTATTGAAAATAACCACAAACTGCTTACCCTCCTTAACTGTTATCATTAGACATGACTATGCAATATACGTAGTATATATAATATGCCCTATATAGTTTTGCATGCACGGATAATTGTGTTGAAATTTAACATGTAAGTAATGTTTCTCCCTTTCTTACAATGAAACGAAACAAATAAATGTATTATCAATTTGTGATACTAATGAATTATATTTTTGTTACACAAAATAACTGTTTGAAAGAAACAAGTCTTAATTCGGTTGGATTAGCATAAATTTAGATTATTTGGAAATCGAAAGTTGTTTGGTTTTTAACGAGTAGAGATTATTCATAAACTGTCGTGATGTAGTTCTAATTGTTTGATATAGCAGTAAAATACACCGTGTATATCCCGTTACACAGTCCTGAATTTAAAAATGATGTAGGACTTGGCACAAGAATATAGGTAAAAGTAATATCGAAATGCTTGAATGTACGGTAAGAAATAGAGGATATTCAAGTTTTAATTCTATAAATATAGGATCTATTTTCATCGAGTTGTGTAGCAACTGTTGAAATATGATGATTTTTCATACCGCGGGATACATACTTACTTACTTACTGGCGTTCGCAATTACACGATTACGCCAGTATCTACGATGAAAGATGCGGTCCGTCTCAGGTCCTTAACATCACCATAAAGTTTCTGTTGGAGGGTTGTTTCCAGAGGCAACGTCGCAGCTCGCTCCTGTTCGTGTCGCTTACATCTTTGGAGGACATGCTCTGCAGTTTGGTCTTCTTCTCCGCACGGACACATTGGAGATTGAACGAGTCGGTACTTTTTGTTCATGTGTGCGTTGAGTCTGTTATGTCCTGAGCGTAGTCTCACCATATCATCACTTGTTCCGGCCGGTTCAAGGAGTGATATGCATCAGGCTGTGGTCATGGCTTTGTTAGTTTTTTGATGATGGTGACTCTCTCCTTGTATGAGATTTGGACATCTGGTTGTTCTGACTGTGCTCCAGATTTAGCCAATTGGTCAGCTTCTTCGTTGCCAGTAATTCAACAGTGTGCTGGTATCCACTGTATGGTAACGTAGCAAATGGTGCTGAGTTCATTCATTGGCCTGGCTAGGTCTGGTGATTTGTTGTCGATCAGGGCTTTCAGGACTGATCATGCGTCGGTAAGAAAGACCACTGAAGAGACAGCTTCTGTAGAGTCTATGATCATGGAGACTGCCTTCATGAGTGCTTCAGTCTCTGCTCTAAAGTTGCTGCAGTGCTTTCCAGTGGCCATATGGTGTGTTTCTCGATATCCTGATGGGTGTATGATGAGAATACCATACCGCGGGATGAAAATTGATCCTGTTATTATAGAAAAAACTTTAATTTTCTGTTCATTACATACTTTTCACTTTTTAGCAATTACGATTCGAAATACTTCTTTAAATTTGCGAATAGCTTAGTAGTCCGGCAAGACAGTAGTGAAAATAAGGACAATATGTTTCACTGCAGTGAAAAAAAAACAACAACAAAAACTTGCTCATCAATATTTCTCAATATTACATTTATAACTTTATAATAATCAAAATTAATTACGGCTTATAATGTTTTTATTGACATTTTTGAATGGAAATTGATATTTAATTGTCTTTCTGGATAGTATAATAACGCACGGTTTATCATACAAAACGTCATCAAATAATCAGGGTTTTTGTTTTTGCTATTAACTTTTACATAAATCATACAAACATTTCTTTTATTACTCTTGGTTTTGTTCTTGGCAATAATACAAGAGATCATGGAAATCCCTTACAATTTGTGGTCTCTTTTTTCAGTTTAGATATGTAGACTGAAAATTCCTAAAAAATGGAATTACCTTTAAGTAATAAAAACCCACTTACTACAACTTCTTGAACATTTATACACAATCATTTGAAAAGAAAGTCAGTTACATAAAAAGTGGAAAAATAAGGCCTTGCTAGCCTTGATCATGAATTATCTGCCCTTTGATTAGGCATAATTTTCAAATTCAAGGACAGATAACTACATGTATTAAATAAGCTCGGCGACCTCAGTTTTTATCTGGTAAAATATTTTTGATATCTTTCTTGATGATCAGGCAAAGGTTCTTTTATGATATGACCATGCATAGTTTAGATAAATTCTATGTTGTAGTTTTCATTCTGTTTTATGTCTATATATAACCCTAGCAAAAGTTAACAGTATAGATCTATCACATACTAGAAAAGTTGTTCTTTTTTGTTTTCTTATTTCTTCAATATAATTTGTCTCATTGTGTATGTGTTGCTGTAATACAAAAATTCAACGAATATAAACATTCAGTTAGAACTAACGCCTTCTAACCTGTTAAAAATAGAAGAAAAAAAAAACAACAGTTGCTACCTTTTTCTATAAGGTATGTTTAATTCTTTTCAGATTTTTTGTGTAAAGTTAAATATGAGTCAGGGTCAAGTGTCAGGAAGGAAAGCTGTGGTACTTCCCAATAAATTATGTGACCGCTGTAATTACGGTAATAAGCAAGTTGTAGCGGATGGATATTGCAACACCTGTACAAAAAATCTCTGCAAAACATGTTTAGATGCTCATCAGAAACAGTCGATTTTCCGGAGTCACAAAATTGTGGAAAACGTCCAGATGAACAACAAAGTTACAAAAACGCCTCCTCATCGCTTAGAGATACTATCACTTCTTGTTTTAACTATGGCAGTTTTGTGGGCTTTGTGGAAGCTATTATGATTGTGATAGTATTAATATTCTCACTGCAGATACTGGACTACCTGGTATAGTTCACTACAGATACACTAAATAATCTAATATATAACTTGAATTTCAAATGTAAGTTTAAGACTCATTATCATAAAATCTATACGTATTCAAACTGACTGATATACAAAGGTAGAAAGTGAAAGTTTTCGATAAAACACAGGAACATTTATACATTGTAATATGTCTTTTGTCAATTACTATTCAAATTTGTGTTTTATTTCCGTCGAAACATAAGTTTTTGTCTGCAAAATAAGAGTATGCTTGTGATAATTGCTACACACAAATCTATCATTTTATGAAATAAATGGATTTCCTTCTAATAAAATACATGTATATAAACCACACATGAAAAGCAACTATTACCAACTTTGTGTGAAGCTACAATCTTTTTCCATCTATTTTGGTCAATAAAATGTTTTAAAAACCGTGCACAAATGAATTAAAAAGTTGTGAACAAAAAACCTGCTTGAATTGGTTGCACACTGTCCAAATGTCACGTGGGTTTGCAGCAATGAAATTAACAAATATGAATCCACCATTTTCAAATACGAATGACTATTACCTTCCCTGTAATGTACCACACTATTTTCCCCGGTAATTCTCTGTCGCTGGACGTGGGGAGGGGAGTAAAATACGCTGTGTATCATCAACGATGCTTTCCCTTGAGCCGTATCCTTTATGTTATATTCTAGATCAAAGTAACTTGGTATTTTTACGAATGTGCGTTTATACAGACAATGGTAACAATGGTATTTAACTCTAAAAGTTCACAGCAAACACATGCTATAAAATTTGGTTAGCTTTTAATGTTTATGTTGTCTGACCCATCTACACTTAAAAGCACTTCTAACTTTTAAAACCGAAATCGTTTGAGCTGTCATTCTCAGATATTACAAGAACACATTCTCACTTGATTCAATATAACCATTCGTTTGTAATGAATGACCTTCTCCAAATCAGAAACATAAATTTTCTCAAAATTTATTAAATGCTAATAATGAATTGTTAAAATCGCATTCAAATGAGATGCATCCAATTTATTGAAAATGCAAAACAATTTTCATCTCAAATAGCATCTATTAATACGTGCATGCGCTTTAACCGTTGGCATTGTCGTAAGTGAATAAGGGTTTTTATACAGGAATGGATGAACATTTCACAGATATTTTCCTAACTATTCACAGGGATCTATGAAAATGTAAATCACTTTTGCAAAGTTTTTTGTTGTTGCGATTTTCATATTTTGGCTGTTTCGGAGATAAAGTTCGAGCTATAGCTACAGTCATGTTATTGTTGATGCGGCCGTTAATGTTGCAGTACCTATTCGGATTTCATGATCTATTCATTGCAGGTTAAAAAAACCCAGTACAAAATGTTATAATATATTATATAAATGTTCATACTGAAACACTTGTAACCTCTATCAACAATTACGTTTCAAGAAATATGTCTTAAGAATATCCAAATAATAAATATCAGTCGTTTTTATTAATATTTGTTGTATTTGAAATATTTATGGGAAATGTTTCCAGTGTAGACCAATACACTTTAAGTAGTCAATACTGAATTTGACATCGGCTGACAAATGACCTTGACCTTAAAGGTCACTTTTTAAAATTTTTACTTGGTTTCTGCAGCAATTGGTTTTAACTTCATAATAACTTGAACACGACAACGTTCTGGACAAAATCTTAAAGTAAACCAAAATGAACTTGACCTTGACACAATTGCCATAAAACATCTGTTGTTTTTATAATTATTATAAAAAATAATAATAAAAATAATAAAAATTCTTAAATAGAATATAGATCAAGTGAAAAACACTTAAAATGGACAATGATAACATAGAAATATACTCAGAACTAAATTGAATATCGACTTTTGTGCAATTCTTAGCCAAATTTGAGTGAAAAGCGTTGCAACGCTTTTATTTTTGGGTTATTTTTCACAATAAAATGCCTATTCTGGGAAAACGGGCGGAAGGAAGAAATTAATATGATGCATTAAGAAATGTGTATGGTACAAAGAATTTGATAACAAAATAAAAAGATTTTTTTTACATTTAATAACATTGACTGGATTATCCATTATGATCAGGTAATAAACATGTGCCCATCTTAATATGTTTAGCGCCTTAGTTAAAAGTTTTTATACATATTTTATTCCAGAACATACTAGTACACAATACATGATATACAGCTGTAGCTCGTATAACACAATAGATATAAAATTTCTAAATTTCTTCTCTAATATCAGCATATTTATCAGTCTCTCTGTAACAATACAAAATAATGTGATGCATTAAATACTTTCTTACATACGATAACACACTGTCATACAACAAAAATATTGTAATATATCAAGGTGATGTGAATGTATAACAATGCAAATTTTCATCTGTTCTCAGAAAAGTTTTTTTCCCATCCGGTTTTGTTTTGTTTGGCAAGATGACATTATTTGGTTTCGAGTCATGATTGTTCAGCAGTTTTCATCTGAAGTACCATCTCACTAAAATGAAACATAATAATATATATACCCTGGTGATTTATAGAAGACCAATCATTTGCCCTGATGATTTATAACTTTAAATTAAATTTTCAACAATGATTTTTCAATAAAAAAATAAAAGAAAAAAGAACAAAACGACCACTTTTTCAGTGGTAGAAATCTATTTTTGTCAGTTGTTTTTATATAATTAACCTATATATTGTAATAATGAACAATTTCAGTTTTGCGATGTGGATTTCCAACATAATGAAAATTGTGCCAAAACCACTATACATTTAAGTCAAGCTGGAAAGAGATTTGTCGCATATATTCTAATGGCTCAAGTTGTATTAACTTACCAAACTTAGCTTTACCTTATAAATTGTCAAACAATATTGTAAAGCTGTACAAAATATTTATATTTATATATTAAAACCAACTGAATACCAATATAAATCGCAACACAACATAAAAATATCCGGCACCAAAAAAGTTGATTGTTTAAAACATACACTTCAACACAATTTCACTCATGTACTAGAAATTATTATGTTTTCAGTGTAGAGAAAAGTATCCCAAAAACCAAGACATACATTTTAACAATGACTTATACCTTCAATGTCATCATGGCCTGATATATCTCACTATAAAACCAATGTAAACATTTATGTATTTATCTGGTGTTGTTATTATTACTTACTAAAAATATAAATTCTGTGGAAAATATAAGCTTTTAAAATATCAAAGGAACACTTTTATGTGTCACACTGTTTTAAAAGATTAATGTTTTAGAAAAGGCTAAAACAAAATACACGTAACTTTATATGAAGAGTTGATAAAACATAGTTTTTGCTAAACAAAGTCAGTGTATAAATGCTGATGTTTACCTGTAGTCTACCTCTCCGTCACCGTCTTTGTCGAGAGCATTGGCAAACATCTCAATTTTGTATAATGATAATGGTACACCCGCCTCCTACAGAATAAAGTACAGGATTGGTTACATGATACAAGAAATATTAGCATATGATAAGTCAATCAGATTTTATATCCAAATGTAATGCAATTAAACAAAAAATATTTCTTTACACTTTTTTTATATATATATGTCAATGTTTAAGAAGTAAATATCTTTAGCCCTATCTTATATCAAAATGTAATATTATCAAACAAGAAAATATATCTTTACTAATAATTGTGTTTGATATATGTCAATGTTTAAGAAGTTAATACCTTTAGCCCTTCTTGGAATTCTTGTAAACTAACACTCATAGAATCATCTGAGTCGAATCTTTCAAACAGTTCCACGAGAGACACATTGTTCTCTTTACAGAAATCTCTCAGGCACTCAAGACCTTCTTTTAAAATATCAGCAACAGAATCCGTCTTGTTCTTGCCATAGTTTAATGCATATCCGTAAAGGACATTTATGTGACGATGCATATCTTTAAGGTTTTGTATGTGATCCTCAAACTTGGGACTATATGTGCAATCCTGGCAAAATAATGAAACATTACATTATACATTATAGGAATAAAAGTCGTATGCTCCGTTGAAACATATTTAGGAAAATCAATTTTAAAGTCTATCCAGGAGAGATTGATAAGAATACGTTTAATTTAATATCATTGAATTAAAAGAAGTGAATGATTTGTACATTCTCTATATTATACATTGTTGCTTTTATATAAGTACACATTGTTGCTTTTATATTTGTTAGGAATTTTCGTTACCGTGAGATCGAGTGTTTCCAACGTTAACACTGGACAATTTCTAAGAATAGCAAGAGCTGCTTCTGCAAATTCCTCAGGGATATTGTTCTTTCCGACCTACAGAAACATAAAGAGACTAAATGATGTAAAGCTGGAATGATGTTTCTTAACAAAAAAAAATCTTAAGTTTATTCCTTTGTTTAAACTTTGTCTGTTCAGTTAGTTGCACAATCTTAAATCGTACAGTGAGCAACAAAGCATGACTGCATTTAAACAAGTAACACATACATTTGTACATAGCGTATATCAACAGATCTTGTCAATAACTCTTCCGTTGTAATATGCACTGTTCAATACATATTTTATAATTTTCCAAGGAACGAACAATTTTGTTTCCAAAACAGGGTGTACAGGATTTTAAACAAATAGTTTTACCTTTAAATGAAGTAGTGATTCATTCAGATTTATTGCTGTAATGAGTTTGATGAATCCATCATGGCCGATCCTACAGCACGTGAGGTCAAGTGTCGTGAGCACACTGTTAACTTTTAAAGTTTTTGCGAAGTCAAATGCTCCGTCATCCCCGATGCCATTCCATGAGAAGTTAAAATCTTTCAGGTATGGGTTTTCCTAAAACGTTTCATGTTTTATCATAAAAAGATGAATTTCTATATCAAAAATCTAAAACAGATTGTAAATATAAGCTGTATGTTATCGGCTGATTCCATTTTATCATTATTCTTGTTATAAATTTAATGAGCAGTTCATTTATTTATAAACATAAAGATACAAATAATAAGTAGTAGAAACAAAGGAAACGTCCTTACATATTTTTCTGTATTTTTTTTTTCGCATAAATACAATTGTTTTAAACATTTATTATTTACGATTTAACTTGAAAATAAGCTTGTAGCTTATTTGCCCTGCTCTTGACATTGCTTCCTGGAACTATTACTAGCGTATGAGGCACCGATAGTGAACTTAGTAGACTCGAATCCACAAAAGAGCACTTAAACGCTTAACCATCGTTCATCACCTGAGCAATGAACACGAGATTTGTACCAAGAGATAAGTAGCTTTAATCAACAATATACCTTAAGACCCCTAGCAACTTTTATTGCTCCTTCTTTCCTAAATTGGTTCCAACTGAGATTTAAGGTTTGAAGAGAAATACTTTCAGCTGAAATTTACAAACATGTTTTTTTATTAGATCAATTTACAACATTTGTACTGTTACTATGTAACCGTGTTACTATTTTATTGTACGTTCATGAAAAACAAAGCCATCAAAAGTCTCCGTATATCATAATTACAAATAAAATACATTATAAGAGTACACTTATAAGTATAAGAAAGACATTAAATGTTTACTTTTACATGAGAGGATACAATAAACAGAATAAGTAATATTTCAAATTTTCAAGATTTAAAAATAATTAAATTTTGATACTAGTTATAAACATGGAAAAATAGTTATATATACATATCATTTCTTCAAATAAAGCTGCCGAGTCGTCACCAAAGTTGTTATGACTCAGGTCGACATGTTCTAATTCCGGATGTTCCTGAAGAAAACATTTAAAATTTAAAATATATATCTATATCTAAGCTAATTGACTGTTAAAAAGGTCCCTTTAACTACAGAAATATGTACATCTTAATTATTCGTGATAAATACAGCGTACATAATAGTATGACTTTCCTACAACAAATTATACACTTATCCAACAATAAAAGTATAAATATATACAGAGAAAAAAATCTGTACCTGAATTGCTTTAGCTATCGGAATAGCGTCCGAGTTTGTAAATTCTTCACCTGATGTAAAAATAAAATAAAGACTTTATAAGGAACATATATCCGATTAATACTATATATATATAGAGTGAAATCGGTGGTTATCTTTCTAATAAATGTAAAATGTTGTATTTCGACATCAATTGAATAAATAATAAATAAAACATGCAAACTTGAAATGATGTACTCAATATTTGTGTTTGGGTAAATAAACATCCTTATGTTTTGTATTTTTGCTATATTTTTTACACCTACAGAGAGACAAATGAGACAAAATCACATAAGTTATTCAAAAAAGAGTAAAAAATGAGTCATTTAATGATTCAGTAGTTCAGTGTAAATGTTTATGTTTATTAACCTGACATTTCCAGTTTACGAAGGCTCCGATTGTCAGCCAACATTTTTTGTATTGCATTTGCCCCATAACTGCCGATATTGTTGTCAGAAATATTCTGAAAATACAACTTTGTTAACTTTAAGGTAATACCTAATTATATATTCTATCATAATTATAAGATGTTCATATGTAAGTTTGTATAGGTTAGAATACTATATAATAATCCGACTGACGTACGTATATCACATATATAAATTTATCAAAAACCCTTTCATTGCTATAAACTTCAATATCCATGATTCGGAATATTGAAAAATATGTTCAACATAGTCAAGATTGACAGTGTATAAATGATCTTACTTTATTTGAAATTAAAAGATACATTTTTTTTATTACAGTGTACTGGTCTTCATTTAGCAATATTTTATAAGAATATCTAAATAATATCTCAAATATTGAAGAAAAAAACCCAACAGAAATGAACTATTTAGATATTTTTTTTTTTATAAAATATTGCTTGGAAAAAATGTTGATAAAGTGATTTTAGTATGAACATTTAAATATGATGAATAATGATATTTTGTTCTAGAACTATTTACTGTCTGCTATATAAATAATTATATGATATATAGGGTCATATATTTCACACTTGCCAACAACAGTCGTATAAAATTCGTTTGTGGTTTTGTTATATCCGATATTTCATACTATCAGTATAATTATATATTACATTATAGACCTTCGGTTAGAGACCAATTAACTTTATGAACTACCTGAAACATTACGTGGCTGGATAATGAGCTTGACAAGCTTGGCAAAGTAAAATACAATCCTACTTATTTAGTAATTTACCGGGCTCTACTGTTTGTACCTTTATTTTTGTATTTTGATATTAAAATACCTTACATTTAGAATGGATTGTTTCATATTCCAAGCAAAGCTTATTCGTTACACAAATTCAGCATACATAACTATCATAATATAAGTAGTACGTACTCTCAGTGCCTGAGAGGGCGGTTGGGCCCTCATTAAGCATAGACTACACCTCCCGTCTCATAATCTAATAATTTTACCACCGATTCTATGCATATTTGATGTATCAAATATACTCTAAATAAACTATAAATATACATTAAATAAATTATAAATATACACTGAATAAACACTTTCATTCTTATCAATCGAATTTTAATGTGTTAACAGATAAGGCTAGCTTCTTACGAGAATTATAACTGTTTATATAGAAATATTCTCACCAGTTCTGTTATCGTATGACTTTCACTGATCATTTTCTGAATGTAGGATATTCCTTTTTGACCAATATCATTGCCTTGAAGGTTTAAAGATGAAACTTTCAAGTTAATCTGAAATCATGATAAAACAAAGATTATATATACATTTATACTTAGCACCTTTTTAAGAAAATATGAAGTTTTGTTTCCATTATAAAGCAGCTCGACTCCAGAGTCAAGCTTATTTTATGTGATTTAATTGTAACATATTGTCGAATGGACGAAGAAAGTAACCCAAACTTGAATACTGCACTATCACTGCATATAAATTACCTAAAGACTAAAGTTTGTCATAATATGCAATTTTGCTCGCCCATATGGTTTTATACCGGCGGCGAGGGTAAATAAACCCAACACACACATAACATGCAAAAATAACCTGTACAGTATTAGAAACGTGGAATAAAAGAACTCAGAAAAAAAACCCAGTAAAGTCAGTCGATTTTTATATATATGTAAAGCATTACATGAGTTATCAATATCTTAATATGTTTTATTTCAACCCATACTCATCTTCTGGATGATGCATGAAGCCTAATGTAAAACGATGATTAATAAATAGCATAAGTAATATCTAATTATCTCTGACTTTCAAATAATATTTTGCCTTATCCTCCCTATCCATTTTCGAATAAGAAAAGTAGTTATAGTTGTTTGTACATTATAAGGTATACTTTGATATCATATCATTAAATACTTACAACAAGAGCAATAGATAATGCCATAGTTCCTTTCGGACCAAGTCCATAATGTTTACAGTCTATGCATTTTGAATTGGCAAGTTTGGACAGTATATACGAAGATGGTACAACATCAAGTTTCTCACACGCTCGAGAATAACATCTTTTTCCGGTTTCATCATAAGGCACTTCTCCTTCTTCAAATCACAACATCATGTTATTTGAATGAAATAACAGCACTTGATTTTTTATGTAATATTTATATTTTTGAAAGGTTTACGGAACAGGAAAATACATGTATTGTACTATAACTTTGCATGTGAATATCATGAAACATTGACATATATTCAGTCTGAAGTTGGAAGCGTGGTTTCTAGTCCATATCTTTCCTGATACTGATAATTACATTTCAAAATCGATATCACATCACTTTGAAGTACGGGTACTCTGCTAATGTAAGTTTTATGTAACTAATTTAGAAACTTCTATAAACAAAGTAATTGCCTTAAATATTATGATGTAAAGTGTAAAAAGGAGCTTGTGTTTATAACATTTGACCGTCTTTATTGTGACAATCAATATCCTATTATTTGTATAGTATTAATAGCGGTAATAACACAACCATAAAATGATGTAAAAATGAGAAGAAAAAGAAACTCAAGCACATCGTAGTATTGAATAAAAGCAGCGTGTATGCATTGAAAACTAGAAGTCATATCTTTATATGAAACAACAAAATCAGTGTTGAAATGGTTATGACTAAAAATTGAAATGAACAATAATATTCTAAAGATATTTTTAGATCAATAAATCTTAAATCTACTGTCTAAAAAGCAATTAAAATACATTCATTTAGAAATGACGTTTTTAATTTCACAATAAGATATATACAATGTAAATGGAATACATGTACATATTTAGATCTAAAGAATCTTAAAGTTTTCTATTTTATTTTTTAACATTTTAAGATTATAATGACTATGTACAGTTATTTTACCTGAGAAATCAAGAACTGTTTCTAGATCCTCTTCAGTAAGAGGTTTATTTTGACTGGAAGTGCGTTTATTAGCACTGTGTGGTGTTGCCGTCAGGTGAGCACGTGATCGTACCTCAGAACGATGGTCAGCTCTGCTGGATGTTGCCAGACTTCAACTGAAAAAAATACACGTACACAAAATCTCACAATGTGCAGACTGTATAGAATAATAAAAATAATAAGTATTGACTTAATTTTGTCGGATAATTAGTTAAAAATAATTGATAAATACTTACTTTAAACTATTTTTGAATTATATGTGACAACATCTTTAATTGTGAGAAAAGAGTTATAGAACGATAACGCGGTCTTCAAAGAAACTGACTCAAAACTTACAATACATAGTTCTATATCCTCAAAATCTTCCATTTAGTCAAGACCACATGATAATATTTCAGAAAAAAAAACTACGGAATGGATATCGTTTGTTAAGCAGAATGGCATGGAGCGTTAAGCAACGGTTTAATAGAAATTGGATAGCTGCTGAATTACATCGATTCCATGGGATATTATTGATATTTTCTAAATTAATTGTAGCAATCAGCAGACGATAATAGGCAGAAGATGCGTTACCAATTGCGGTAAATTCTATCTGCGCAATCGATGGACGCGCGCTGATTTATTGAGCATCTGTTAACTAATGCTCAATTAGCCAGTCATGGAGTGAGATTTCCGAGCTTAAAACAATCATTTTAATTACAGTTACACGATTTCCCAATTAGAACATGAGATGTCAGCTGTACATAATACTGTACCAAGTGTTCTTATCAAATGTTAATGTTCTCTTTTTCCATTTGTAAATAACTGTATACTAGGAACAACAACAAAACATATATATATATGTCATGAATTCTCCGATCATTTTATACATATCAGACTAGATTTTAAACTTGAACATGTCATCTAAGGTGAAATATAGAAGAAGTCGAAGCATTAAAGAACGACCAGTATGGCAGAATTGAAAGGGTTGCAAGCTCGAGTTGATTGAGCCTGTTAATAATCATTAGTGGTTAAAAAAGTTTTCGCCAACACACTTTAGCATCCGGTAACGCTAAAACAGAAGTCACCATAGGGCCGCGTTCTTTTATTAAATGTCTTTGTCGTATAAGTGAGTTTTATGTATTAAGTTGTTGTTGTCGTTTGTTGAGTATGTGCCGCAATAAAATATTTATTTAATGCAGATTGTATCTGGTAAAACTTATAGTAGTCTTCCCAGTTTATTCTGGATGTAAAATATTATTAATGATCTAATTCATATCATTTTTATCAGTTTGTTATGGTGATAGTAAGTTTTGAGTAAATAACATGAACAAAGCTTAACAAATATGTCCACAAGATATCATCATACTAGAATTTATTATATTTAGACACGCATAATTTGATGAGAATGATTAAGGTAACTGAAAAATCCCATTTAAGTAGGAATACCCGATCATTTTATCAAATGTATATACATAATTATATTGTAGGAATCAATCTTGAGCAGCACTATTTTTTTCTGATTTTCTAATTATCTTATTGTCAGATTTAACACTGGCGTTTTTTGAAGATATACAAGGATTACCAATAATATACAATTAAAGAATAAATATATATGATCTTTTTTAAAAAGTATTTTCACCTGAATTCACTTCAAAAGATGTGTTATACTTTTCTAAATATATATGAATGTTCTAACAACTTACCCCTTTATATCCAACAGCTTTTAAGTTTGGGTTAGAAGTCGAGAGTTTGTTTGAATTTATGTGTATCGCGAATGTCGTCATTTTAACAATCCTGACAGTTTAACAATCAAATGTTTAAAGTGTTTCACATATCACTTTATAATTAATACATGTATAAAATTATATAGATATCCCAAAGAAAATATTAAAATATTATCACACTTGAAAATATTCCTGATTTATTTTTATCATGTTAACTGAATAAATATTTCAGTTCATAACTAGTGATTAAGCCTTTCAATTAAACTTTAAATGACATTAACTAATCCCCTCTCGGTTACAATACCACAGCTCTTTCTGCTGATTTACAATCAATTAATATAACCAAAATATTAAATATGAACATTTCGGGTAGTATTTAATTTTTTTTATGAAACACATGTCTACGAATCCATGAATGAATATTCACATGGTATGTATATGTATATAAAATTAATAAAGCGTGAAGATCAAACAGATATATATTTAAACCACTATGCATGAAAAGGACATTTATAAAATTAACGGATATGAAAAGAAAACTAATTGATAATAATCAGTGAAAGAAAAAGTACTTTTCTATAAAATTCAAAGGAAAAGCCGTTTTAACATCAAACGAAGAAATAAACATAATGTCTTCGTTATGATTTACTGATTGAAAATGTCTAAAGAGATCACTTAATAAATTGTCAGTGTATTTATAGTGATGCTCTTTTACGAGTTAAATATTAATTATATGCAATCGGATAAAAAAGCACCCGTCTTGCTACCTTACAATAAAAATTGAGTGACATTTTTTCAGTAAAATTTGCACAAGAAAATATTAATTATGCTTTTAACAATCAATTCAATATTTGACAAAGGTTTATATTTTATCACCCAGATTCTGTTTTGATAATCTGATGCTGGAGAAAAAAAAATAAAAAAAAATAAAAAAATAAAGAACAAAAAAAAAAGGGAGTGGATGAAATGTTGTAACAAAAGCCGAGAGATCCGGATATACGTATAGCTTTATTTGTATTCATGCTATTTTATTTACATCACACTAACAGAACCATTAATTCGCCATTATAAGGTTGAAAAAATAATTAAGTTATCTAACCCCAGCTTTTTAAAGGTCAACAATGCTTCATTACAAAATATTAATATCTAGGTCGATTAAAACGTATACAAACCATTCTCCAAAATTTAATTAGATTTTGATAATCCTGATTTAACCCGTTTTTAATCTAATCCACGATTATTATAATTTATATATTATAAACATATTTCGGTCACAAAGTAAGACTGGTTATAAAAATGAAGAAATCTGTTATTTACCTAACAAATGTTTTTGTTTAAGTCAAAATTATTGATTAAGTTTAGACAAAGAAATCTATTAAAGTGAAATTTGTAAAACAAAGAAGATAGGGACATGGCTGGTCGATTGTTTAATAAACAAACGTGTTTTAACAGTCGTAGAGTACAGATATATAATATTATTCAATAAGTCGTGAAAAAATATATGTTTGCGATTTTATCATTGTCTGTTTAAGTGTCGGTCTATAGTTGCACTATAATGCATGTCCACTTGCAGAAGGAACATTGTTAAATTTGGTTATCATCTCTAAGAAACAGTTGCATAAAAATGATTTGAAATTACGCGCTTTGTCGAAAATACAAAAATAAATTCTAGATTTTAGATTAATATAAAGGTTGCCATGTGCGCTAGTCTTTCAACTGTTCATTTTATTTTAAAGATGTTTGCTACAATTACATACATGTTATATACATATAGGTATTTGAAACTACATAAAGGAATGAATTTAAACTTTGCATGATTACAGAAACACTTAGCGGAAACAGAAGGGGGAAAGGGAGAGAGAGGTCACTAAGCTTGTTTTCGAGTTATCTGCCGTTTAATTAGATAGTTTCTTATATATGGTTAAATTGTTCCAGCTAAATTTAAATGAGTTCTTTATTCTTTTATGTATTTTTTATGTTGTCTATATGTCTATATGTCGGTGTTGCACTCATTCGTTATCCCTTATGTACAGACCTGATCAATTCTTATGTATTTCTGTTGTGATTAAGGCTTCCGAGGGATCACTTTAGCAGGTGTCAAGTGTTGTTTGGCAGCTGTAAAAAGTTGCCCCGTACTTCACTTCAGTTTTGTTATATTTTTCTGGTCCTTCGGGATCATTGATGCCAAAATGTTCTGGTGAAAATCAGCTTTTTGACGATACTGTAATAATTTCACACTGCAATAAATTCATACAACGTTTCTATTCTCTACAAGTTTGGGAAGTTAAGGATCGTTAGACTAAAAGAAAACAACACAAACAATATACGACATAAATGAACATGCAATTCGTTTAAGCCGAGATAATTCAAGACTCCCATATTTCACTATTGACTATTTGCGTTGATCGTAAAATTTGGCATAATCTGAGATACAGTAAATACTTTCTTATATGATTTGTGGTATGTTGATACGATATGGCAACAGTTTCTTAATTCCATGTAACAAGATCTGTTACGAACAGATCACCCTACATATGCCTACATATCCTACATATACATTCCAGTAGGATTGTCTAAGTTAGGATATGTTAATCATGGAAAAAGGCCTTTATTGTGATAAAGTAAAATTTCGGGCTTGAAGATTTGAGGAAGACCTTAGTTTATATTAAACCTCATTAGCATACGCCCTTCTAAATTTAATATGACACCATCCGGTCCATAAACCGCATACAGATGGGGGGCGGTCCATAATTCTTATATGGACTGGGTGACGTAATATTAAATCTTAAAGTTCGTTTTTTTTGCCTGTTTTATTTGATTAACAAAAATTGAAAAATAAAAGAAGAGCATGATTTTTTTTGCTGTATCGCTGGAAAATAATGATAATAAATCCGACTAGGGTTTGAGATATTTCACACACTGAACAAATAAATTATTATTTGAAAACAAATTATAGTAAAAATAACAGCAACAAAAGGGATGAAAGGATTTAGATTCGATACAATATAACAAATAAAACATGGCCTTTCATGCTCAGCTGCGCTTTGGGCCAAAAACCTTCCTCAGCCTGACTAATCAGTCCGTGGGGCGTCCGTGGCCGAGAGGTTAAGGTCGTTGACTTCAAACCACTTGCCCCTCACTTCTGTGGGTTCGAATCCCGACAGGGACTTTGGATTCTTTAATGTGAGGAATCTATCCAGCTAGCTTACGGAACGTCGTAGGTTCTACTCGGATACCCGTTCGTGCCTGAAATAATGCACAGAAGGGGACCTGAGGTCTTCCTCCACCAGTAAAGCTGGGACGTCGCGATATGACCTATACTGTGTCGATGTGACGTAACCCCCCCCCCCCCCCAAAAAAAAAAAAAAAAAAAAAAACAAACCAATCAGTCTGTAAACTTGCATATTACCCTTAAGGCCATGTTTTATTTGTTAATAATTGCATAACAGCATTATTTTTAGATACAATTTTGATACACAAGGAGTCTTCAATCCAACAAGCTACAACTCAAACCGAAACTCTTTAGTTAGGTAGTTACGGATGATCTGGCTCTAATCTTTTCTCTTTTATACCAGTAATAAAGCGGTCTCATACTTGACAAATATTGCAAATTAAATCAGATTGATGAATGTGATCTCTTCAAGTTCTCAATGTTCAGTGACTATATAGGAGCAAAACTCGCAACTGCTCGTGGTCATGGTGAAAAGCGTCAATACTCGTTTCTAGCCGGAAACAATTGCACTCTTGTGCGTTTATTTTGAAAGTAGACAATCTGATCCGACAGAGTGTAACATATCATATCGTTTAACATTTCGTTGTCCTATACTTACCTCAGTTTGCACGACTATCTGAGTTTTGTTACGTTTTGTAACCATACAAAACGATAGTCGATATTTAAATTAAATCGTGCTGATTAGAGACAACTGTATGTGAACTTCACACAGTTAGATCTATCACGATTGCCAAAACATATATCGTGATATCATGATCGAGATATGATAGATTTAATGCAACAAGTCACAGACTAAGAACACAATTTTAATCATGCTGAAAAGCATGACAGTTGCATGCGGAACCACATTAACAACATTAAACACACATTGATACAATCTATTTTTATGTTTCAGTTCATATACATGTATATTTCAAATGAAATACGATATTGTCGATACTGTTAATTTGTATCCTATATTTTCTTCTTGCACCATGACTGAAAGAGATGTTAAAGTATGTTTAACATACAAGAAATAAAACATGTCACAATTATTAAAACTTTTATATTAATGAAGAATTATGATACAATAAGCATAGTGCAGATAACAAAAATGCCTCTGTCTACCTTCAGAAGACAATCAAGTAAGGTCATTACACAAATACATATTGCAGTACTTTAAAACAATAACTTCTTTTTCGTACATTACCTGCGGAAACCAAATTTTCTCTTTCGAAGTCTGACAACCACACTCAGCACCACATATATCACATATGTTTGCATTCTTGGCTGACAATGGTGCATAAAACACAGTCACCTCATTGCCTAAAATATTCAGTTGTACACAAATAATCTAAAAAAGCATTGCATGATGAGTTTATTGTTGCTTCACTAAAACTGTCAGAGTGAATGTTTTGAATAATCATGAATCTATGGATCTACATGTTTTCAGGTTTTTTAAACGCTTCGATGAAAAGATTCTGTCCAACAAAGCCTTAATCATTATTTTTGCTATGTTTGGCGACCATATATAGGGGAATAACATCAATACGTTTATTATCTTTTTTTAACAAATCATAAATATTTTTTTCATTTGCATTATTTGATGATTTTATTTATTACAATGAAGAGCAATATAAATTTCATACTTGGTTCATAATATTCATACGCTTTACACGGTACCGGCTTTGTCTTCGCAACCAGCTTGTCCCTAACAAAACGTAAATCTGTGCATAACTCAACAGATTTAACCTATAAAAATATAAATGAAATAATTACATTTGTATTGTCTTTGTGAAATATAAGTTCATAACACATCAGTTAAATATAACACATCAGTTAAATTACATTTATATGATATTAAATAATATATTTTCCAGGCAGCATAATTTTATAAAACCACACCGTTTGTCAGAATTTCTTGTCAGAATTTTCAGAAATTAAGAATATATCTAACTAACTTATTAAACTTCAATCGAAAAGCAAATATCAAAAGTTAAGAGACAAAGATGCTACAAATCAAGTATTATCAAAAACCTTTCAAGATAGATGACCATTAAATAGTTTTTATGGTAAAGTAGTTCTAAGTAGACACAGGCCAAATAATGATAATATTCATCCACTGTTTGCTACATGTATTTTATAAATGAACCATACATGCATTGTATCTTTATTGATTTGAATGATAAATATTTCATAACTGTGGCTAGAAAAAAACAACATTTTTTTTTGTTTCAATTGTTTGAAATTGTATATTACGTACAATATACTTGTTTCATATTTACACTCTCTCTAAATCGTTTTGAACAAACAGTAAAACAAAAACAAAATAAACAAAATACTTTTATATTTTATTGAACTTAGATACCTCCTCATAGTACAGGATAACTTTCCTATCTTCTATTTCAGTTCGTTTTAGCATCTTGTGTTCTGAAATTCCCCATCTGTTAGCTTCAAAGCCAGAAGGGATACCAATTTCTACGACAATCATTCCACTTATCTCATCCTCAAGCCAACTTCAAAAAAGCACAGACAGTAAATGAAAAAGCATTTATGTATGATGTTATCCTAGTTTTATTTCAAAATGATCATTACTATGATAACATATATCTTTACTTCAATTGTTTTGAATATCAGTTTACTCTATAATAAACACATGTTTACTCTTTTCCTTTTTTACATCGAAAGGTAAAATTAAGACAAATATATTAACGAAGTTATAACCTGACGACTATAATAATTCTACATACTTGCAGAAACTTTCAGTACGACAAAAGGAAGATTTGTTTCTTAACAAATGGTATGCTATTGTGGAACATTCTACGAAGGCTTGTTTATATCACATTTTAAAATTAATGCAAATGTGAGAGAGAATCAATCTTATTCTTGCCAAAGTCATCAATTCTATTTTCTAAGATACGATTTCGCACCCGTAACCACAATCTCCCAATAGAAACTGGAAACTGGGCAAGAGTTCAAGTAAATAATAGACTATGTACTTCGTGTGATAAATTGAGCAAAGATCAGGAGTGTTTCTACGTCCTTTTGTTTCGTATCGTGAGACCTAGTGTCACACATTTATAGTATTTCGCATTTTGATTAGATCACACTTATTTGTTTTATTGTCAGAAAATGCTTATTAGGTCTAAAAATATTAATCAACTCCACAATTCGTATATTAAAATTGAGTGCCAGTTTCACTATGAAAAAGTGCCATTTCTATATAAGTTTACATATAAGTTTGATTAATATACAGAACTTTTTTGACTCTCCACAGACTTGAAACTTGAAAGTATATTTATTGTCAAATTATTTACTATTATAGTTTTTCGTCAGTATAACCTTATCTTATATAAATTAACTGCTATTTGAGCCTCATTGTACTGTCAATCATGTTTTGGACTTGACTTGTAATTAAATTGTACCTTATTTGCAAACACAATAAGATGTTACTTCTCTAGGAAAATGATAAAAAAATCCTACCTCACGCAAGACCTCAGTGTAAATCCGTTTATTGTCTCCTTAACAACAGTTACTTCTAAACGAAGACCTTTGCTTTCAAGATCCATGAAAATATTGTAGAATAAGGACACCTGTTAAATGAAAGTGAACCACCTATATAAGATTTTCCAATAACAGACAAAAAGAGTAAACATATAAATAATTGAGAGAAGAAAAAGATCAGCTATAACAAATTACTTTTTTGCATAACGGATTTCGCACGTTTCGATTTACCATCGATTTATAAATTTACTTTCCTAAACTTAATTCAGTGCAGTCTGTTTAAGTTTGGCTGAATCAGTATGTAACTGATAGCATCGAAACACTATGATTAGATGTTTCGGTTTTGAAAAGGTTTTACATTCATATTTCTAACTTAAACTCCGTTTTTTCCCTAAAAATAATAAACGCTACATGTCTAAGAAATTGGTTTTTACATTAGTACATTAATGTCCCTTTTTCTTTCTTGTTGGCAAACTAATTTTGAAAAGAAGGCATGGATGATCAAAAATA